GTACAACTGACCCCCAAGACCCCAACCTGTTGGGAATATACTGGGTATGTTGATGATGTTATTGATGATGAATCTTTTTTTTAGGCATTGAAAGTGCACACCAAAGCCGAAGTTTCATTACACAACAGAAGGACCGACTGTTGGATAATCATTAAAAATAAGGTTTTCTCTAAAATTCAATGTGTAATTCTGGTATTAATTGTGAAATGAAATAAAATATGTATTTAAATAATAAAGCTTTTCTTTTTGAACAATTTCTTCTTTTTGAAGGTTTATGATGTCACCCCTTATGTAGAAGAACACCCTGGTGGTGATGCCATCCTGGCACATGCTGGCGATGATTCTACTGAAGGTTTCTTTGGGTAGGTCTTTTTACTCTGTTTAAACTTTTTATAGCATTGTCCTGAAAAACTATTTTAACCAATCGTTTATCTCTAACGCACTTTTACCTCGTTTAAAACAGTGAACTTTACCAGGTGTGCTTTTTTTGTTAAATTAATAATTAACTTAATGCAATACATTTCATATTGACAGACCACAACATGCTACCCGCGTCTTTGACATGATTGAGGACTTTTATATAGGAGATTTAGTGAAATGATTATTATCATTATTATTAGTTTGATTGATTTATGTGCATCTTAGGGCAACTATACTAGTGTGCACAAAGCCCCCATAAATTTCGAATTAGAATGATGGTGTTTTGATTTTGCACTATTGAGTAATCGTGTGATCTTTGGATGAATTAACATACAACTTGTAAAACTCGAACCATTAATCGCATCCCTATTTGGGGTAAGCTAAGCCTGAACAAGAAAAAATTATCCTTTCTTGTTATTAGAGTTAGTCTAATGAATTTTCAGTTATGATATGTTTAGCTGAGAATTGTATACTGTTGTATTTGGGTGAATGAATTAATTGTTGAGATGGTTTAAGGAGCTTTATACACACAGCACGTAGTAAAATTTAATTTGTGTGCTATGTCTTTGGTGCGAATATCACGGGATTCTAGTTATGGTATATTCGTTTCATTATAAAGTTACGTGCATTTCGATGGCGATCTAATTCATGTCGATTAGACCGCTATCATTGGAGTTTGGTTGGAAGTTGAGGCCCAAAGATTTGACGCTGCGGGCCAAAAGCTCAACTTTGAGATTGCCGTGAAGCCATTATTGAGGCCTAACCACTAATGAGGCCCTAGTTGAGCAATTGCAAGCTCAATTAGCATCGATTCTTGATGTATACGAAAAGCGCCTATCAGAATCTAAGTACTTGGCAGGAGAAGTTTATACATTGGTTGATCTTCATCATGTCCCAGTTATAAACAAGTTGATGAAGACGAAATTTAAGCTTTTGTTTGAAGAACGTCGTCATGTTAGCGCTTGGTGCTCGGATATCTTGGCCCGGCCCACATGGACGAAGGTTTGGGATTAAACTCCGATGAGTTAGCGTGTTGCCGAAATTTCAAAATATTATAATAATAATAATAATAATAATAATAATAATAATAATAATAATAATAATAATAATAATAATAATAATAATAATAAAAAAGTGACATTTTTTTTTTAGCTTGAAATTGAGCCACGCCATAGCAAAAGTTTTGGACCACTCACACTTTATCTAATAAACATAAACATGGACCTATTAATGGCTGTATAGGTCAT